TGACATTTCTGACATGAATTGAAAGTTGCCTATCTGGGCTCCCACCATATCAGTGTGGATCCGAATAGACCGCACATAAGCATGCTTCTTATACCTATTCAGACAATATAAGCCGGTATCTGTTACTTCCATTCAGTCATTATTATACCGCCTATAGTCTCTCTTTTACTTCCATTCAAGCCGAGTAAACAGTCACTTGTTACCTCTCTTTAGTTCCGTATGGGCCGTCTGTGCCAGGGGTCATTATGTCAAATATGCGGGTGTCCCGATAGGTCTATATTGGCGCCCTGTCACGAGTCCTCCTACTTGATCTCTCTCTCGTCTAGCTACCTGTGTCTGGCCGTCCATAGGGTGTTCAATAGGATCTGAACATAATGCGCATGGAGTCTAAGCAGACGGTTTAATATTACCCTCCCAGCAGCTTCCCATAGCCGCTCAAATTGTGGCTAGGCGTACACTTGTTAGCCACACCTGACACGCAGTGATTGTAGTTATAGATAACGAATACTGTATTGCGCAGGGAGAGTGAGATTGAAGTGGATGCGGATGCTCTGATGACGGTTTGTTTCTGGTGTGCTTCTGATCCGTAGCACAAATGGCCTGGTGCCACAAAGCCTTTCGGAGGCGCCTGTCCTGTCGAGTCCGCCGCATCGTTCTGTTAGGTTGCTTTTGTTCACATCGTCTCAGAATATACGTAACTCCAAAATAACGATTATTATCCGCAAGAGTAAGATATAGGTAGAACGGGTATAAATACTATAGACAACGTCGAAACATTCTTCGCTGGCAACCTGGGTACCACTAGATTGAGAAGGCCTGTAGTGTGCAACTGAATTTTTCGTTAGATTCAAAAACGAGAGGAAATATGCTTGAGCACCTACTCTTCAAGAATATAGTCCGCACTCCGAACAAAAAGCCCATCCTCTCCCATATATACCGAGTCGCTGTCGCCCACAACCAGCCCCGGCACCTCGATCCGCTTGAACGGCGCCGCAGTGCGCACCGGCTTCGCCCACACGCTCTTGTCCGAGCACAGGAACGTGAGAACGCACACGTCCGCGTCCTCGCCGACAGTGAGCAGGTCGTGCATGAGCACCGGCACCGGCGCAAAGTCGTACACGCACAGGAGGTCCGTGCGCGACCGGACACCGTACCGCGACTCGCGGGACATGTACGGCTCGGACGTGAGGTACCGCGTGCCAAAGACCTGGCTGCATGACGCCTCGGTGCTGTCAAGCATGCGGCTCTCCTCGCCCCACTGCTCCCAGGGGACGAGCACGCCTGTCGTGTCGGCTGATTGGAGGCGTGAGAGCCATATGGCGGCGGGGATGATGAGGTCGAAGCGCCGCTCGCCGCGGCGGGAGTCGGAAAGACAGATGGTGACGAGGGTGAGAGGCATATCACCTGCAGCATGGAATCTCGCAGGGTCGCGGCGTTTACGCTCAGGAGGCCGGCGGGGTTGGCAGCTTACGGCATTGAAAGAGTATGCGACTTTTTTTGCGAGCTTTGGGAGCCCAAGGATGACAGGTGCATGCTTGATCGCATCCAGTAGAAGAATGCGGGTCTTCCCAACGCGATAGCAATCAACGAGTACGACGGCATCTGTGTTACTTCCTGTTGTTGTTACGACGATATGTCGATCGTCGAAAAACTTGAAGTCCAGTGGCTCGACGCTATGACTTCCGTTCTTCGCGTACACATTCTATATGAAGGTATCAGTTGACATAGACAACAAGCTTTGGATATCACTGTCTGCAACTGACCATGACGACCTCAGCGCGCTTCCAGTTTACTATCCAAATCTCGCTATGTAACCCGGGCATTGAGTCGCAGTATACTGCGAGTCCCACGAGATCACCGCAGGCAAAGGTGTTGAAGATCCAGAACCCATTCATGTCGGTAACGGGTTTGTGCGTGCTGATCGTGACGACCGCAGATGCGGCGCTATGAAGCTCGCCCGTGGTGCACGAAAGGAAACGCAGGTCGACTCTCTTGGTGCCTTCGTATCTACGGAGCAAATCAGTAACAACGATATCTAGAGAGCACTGGGCTGTTGGCTCACATTTCAGCAAGAACGAGAAGGTCTTCCTCGTACTCGACCGCAAAGGATTCGTGGTCCGGCAGCTCGTCGAGGCTCCACTCTTTGGGTGGAACACCTCTGAGCTTCGATCCGAGCCGACGAAACTCGAGCGCCGCGCCATCTGGCGATGCTGACGAAGACGCAATAATGGTGTAGACAGACCCAGACACCTGCGACATGCCGAACTCGGGGACCTCGCGTGCATGGCGCCTGTCTGTCCATCGCAGCGTCCGCCACGCTTGGCGCCATTCTCGCACGGCAGCCAGCCTGTCTTTGAGGTTGTCGTTCGCAGAGAGGCTGCCCTCGACGACACCGGCCAGGGAGCGTTCAATCGTGTACTGGAGGGCCACGGACTCGTTCACGATGTCTCGAAACGCGCAGCATACCTGTCATTGGTCCGACTGTCAGCATATTCGTTTCTGCAGCTTGGGAGACGCTGGACTGACCGTTCGGAACAAAGCAATATCCTGGGCTGAAAGATACTCAAGAATGTGCACGATGATCTCGGTCGGCAAGTTCTGCAGATGGCCGCGCGGTCGGGTCGCGGTACCCGATATTCTACTCGAGCGACGGAGTCCCCGGGCCTTTGTGATGGTCGCAACAGGCTTTGCATTGGCTTTGGGTTTCGCGCCGGCGGTTTTGGACGCTTCCAAGCCGTATACACGGGAGTGAAGCTTGTATAACTTGTCGAGTTTTTGGCCGGTGGGCATGTCTGCGCGGACTTGAACGTCGTTGTCTGTGGGTGAGGTCGGTCGCGGACCCGCGGTACTTATGGCTCGTTCTCCAGTCCCCATCACGATGACGCGCCTTTAGACGCCAGACGCTGGGAAGCGATCAGCGATCAGGCCGTGGAGTGTTCTTGGCGGGAATATTCCCAAAGGCACGCAGAGTGAAAATACGGACAATATTATGACCGCTGCGAGAACTATGAGCTGTTGGAAGAGGTAGCGTGAAAACGAAGACTTGCACGAGCACCACTGGCTGTGCGCGCTAGACACAATATCGGACACGAAAAATGGCACGGCGTGAGATGTCAGAAATAAACGGCACTGGCCGGGACAAGGCTTGTACGTACGTTAAAGGCAGACCATCGTTGACAAGCGCATCGCTATTGGTACACCATGGCTCAAACGGAACACTTGTCGGACATGGTCCTGCGGCTAACAGTCCAGGCCTTCAGCCTGGAGGCATAGAAGAGAAATACAAAGGGGATGCACATTCGCGGGCATGCGACGCCACCGAAGGCAGCTAGTGCCAACTCCCGATTGCAAGGTATGGTCAAGCGGTGCCCTATAGCGGATGACTTGGGCTTCAGCGGCCAAGCCCGAGTGCTACAACAGTGTAACTCACGCGTAGGAAGTATCAGAGGTGTAGTACCCGTAGCGAACCACGAGGGGTTTGTTTGACAACACTCAAGCTCTCACTCCTGCCTGCGGCATAGAGATGAGTGTACACAGGCAACTCTTACCGTTGGGAGCTCAAGCCTTGAGATGTAAAGCTGACATGCTGAGGAAATGACCATACACTCTGGTAAGAGACCAGAAAGACATTACACGGCCCGAAGAGCGTGAGCCCAACGAAACGAGGATTTACTATCTAAATCGTAAGCCAGTAAGTAAGCGAAGCTAACTATGGGATAGCCTCCGTTGCAGAGTAGCCAGGCTCAACCGGCAAAGCGAGGATCGTACTATGGGCCCCACCAAATATAATTGAACTTTTTGAAGCGCAGGGCTCTGCGAGACATGTCTGGAGTGAGCTACCTTCCACCAGGCCCGGCGATATTTGATCACATAGCCCACTTCGACATTGCGTCTTATTTAGGGCCTGGTAGATTTCCGGTCGTTAGACATGACGGAGTTATATGGACGTCGAATATGGCGAGAGGAACAAATGGTATGCGACCGGTGCAGATGGCGGTCAAAGTCCAACGTCCAACGCTCGCCTTGGGCGTCAAAGCGCCATTTCCCCTCCTCTCCTCCAACCACGCGCTCGCCCATCAGCCCTAACAGCAGGGTAGAGCGTGCGTCGTTGCGGAAACCGCCTTGGCTGCCAACATGGCCTCCCGACTCGTCACCCGTTTCCGCACGCGCGAGATCGCTGCCGTGCTCCAGGCCGCGCCCCAAACCGCCGCCGCCGTCGCGCAAGAGGGTGGGCCCGTGAAGGTCCAGAACCCGTTCGTGCCACACAAGAACCCAGAGACTGGCCGCTGGGCGCCGCCCAAGTACTCGCGGCGCCGCCAGGCAGAGCTCATCAAGGCCGCACGGGCGACGAACACGTTGCACTTGCTCCCGCCGGGCCCGAAGCTCGGTCGCGCGGTGCTCGAGGCGGCCGCGAAGGCGACGCCGAAGAGCGTGCGCCCGCGCCCCGCGGACCCTGCTGAGCTCTGGGCGAAGCATGTGAGCTGGACGGGCAGGCTGCGCGAGAAGAAGGTCGCGGGCGCGGACGTCGGCAGCAGGCTGTACGCGGGCAAGAAGAGGATGTTCAAGGGGCACAAGTGGCAGAGGACGATGCCGACGAGGGAGCTCAGGCGCAAGATGGTATTGAAGAGCATGAAGAGCAGAGTTCGCCGGTTCAAGTCGGTGCGTGCCGCGGTGCTTCTGCGTCTCCACATGTCGGTGCTGAGTTGTGTTTGCAGGTGTACCGCCGCAGAAGACCGAGCCCCTTGGGTCGACCAAAGGTCACTGCAAAGGGAGCTAAGCTTCCGTTCTAATCCTTCCAGCTGCCATAGAATTATCCTACCCTATTCTTCTGTCGCCGGTTACACTATATCTACGGCGTTTTGCTGCAGCAAAAAATCCGGTCCACCAACTCTACTCGTACGAAGTAACGAACTGATAAGCATTGTGAGATTTGCTACTATAGTACAAACAAGAGCGATAAATGATCACGGAGAGTACAGTTACTACAAGGCGAGTAGAAGTTGCACAGATATGTTGATTGATTATTGCGATAGAGCAAGAAGAACATGTACGGATGTGCGATGGAAGGAGAAAGCGATGACCAGAAAGCGGCGCAAAGAAACAATGTAAAACGAGATTACGAGGTGCTGGTGGTAGAACGTCGTCACGATCGTTGGGAAGGGGAGTGCAAGTGCCGCGCATGGCTCGCCATAACGTCTCGTCGAGACAGAGCACATATAGCCAGCCAGTTCAGGCTAAACCGCTCTCCTGTCAGTCTGCTTGCACAACACCACAAATGTTAACGCACGGAATCTATAGGTCTTATGATCTCTTCAATCCGAATCTGTATTAGAGTCAGAATCCGACTCGTAGCGTTGCGCAGAGTTTGGCATGGTCGGTTTCCGCTTGGGCGGAGGGCGGTAATTCTCTGGCTTGTAGCCTTGCATGGCCTGCATGAGCTTGGCTACGTTCGGGTCCCTGTGGAACTCGGGGCGCATGGTCTCTTTGCGCTCAGGGGAGCTGGCGCTACGTTGCGGGGGCGCAGCGCCCGCGGGGAGTGGCGGCGGCGACTGGCGGGTCCGTGGGGGAGTTTTCGGCGGGCTTTGGGGCCGCGCAGATGGCGCGGAAGCCTCTGCATTCCTCTTGAGCCACGCCTCCTTGATCCTCTCTGCTTCGCTCTCGCCCTCTGCGGTCATCCTAGACCCATCTGGGGGTAGAAGCGCCCAATCGCGGTCGAGCCGCTCTTCCTGTTCGCTCAACGGCAACTTATAGCCGTGTGCGTCGCGGAGCGGCTTGGGCTGTGCGGGGACGAGCCCGCACGCGCGTAGGGCAGCTTCGCGTTTCTCAGGAGACGTCCAGGAGTTTTCGAGCGTCGCAGCCGGCTTGACCACAGTTTGCGGCGCAGGGAGCGAGGGCATGCGGAGCGAGAACTTGCGCTTGTGCTTCTGGTTAGGTTCTTCTGGGATGTCCTCGAAAGGGGACTGCGCATGTGCTGGACTAGAGGGGTGTGCCCATGATTGGGACGGCGAACGGAGCTTCGTAGTAACTCGTTTGAATAAGCCAGGACGATTGGACACGTCCTCGTCTGGTGATGCCTGTGGAAGTGGAGGGAGATCTTTGCTTAGGCCAGCCATCGATACGTGCTGGGGGGTGAGAGTCAGTTTTGAAGCGAAGCTAGCAGCCATGGGGACGTACAGGCGTTTTACAGAGCGTTTGAAAGTCCGAGTCTACTTCTCCCGACTTTATAGCACGTTCGAAGCGATGTTAGAGGCAGTACAAGGAGGCGGAGAGAACAGAGGAGCGTGGGGGACCTCTGCGCCAGTAGACTTGTTCTAGACAGTCCGAATCGAGCTCTTCGTCAACCGCGCGTCCGGTAACACCGAGGGTCGCGCGAAGTCGGGATGGGTCTACACTCTGAGTCGGTTTCCGTCGCAGTCGTCGAGGCGGTGGTTGTGGTTGTGGTTGTGGTTGTGATGGTACGAGGACAACAGCATTTGTAGTTGGAAGGAGCTATGTTGCGGGGGCAGGAAGCCATGATGTCGGAGCTCCTGTAAATCATTCCGTGTGCCAAGACTCTGCATGTGCTCCGGTGATGGCCGTGTTCTTCTCACCTCACCCGACGCTTTCCATTTCAGGGTATTTCCGACGCTTTCCATCTCAGGGCGCTTCCGACGTTGACCTGTGCTCCTCGCATTCGCTCCCATCTCCCTCACCAAGAATTGCTCGGTGGCGGCTTTCGAGAGCCCTTTACCGAAGATGCATACAGGATATCTTGAGCCGAATTGTAATCAGAAGTATCTGGGCCTTGATCCTGTTGGCAAGGCTCCCACATGTAGTGGTGCGTCCTCGCGGATGCACAGCTGTGTAAGCTCGGAAAGAGACGAATTCAGTCCTTCATATCCTAAGTTCTCTGATGAATTTGCATTGTCTTTACTGCGCCTGCGGGCAACGCAAGCGGCATTACATCGTCGCGACCGAACAGTGCTCGTCCGAAGGCATATTCTCCCAGCAGATTGTGCTGTCTTGACAGATATTAGGCAAGTTCGATCCTATCTGTCATGGTCACGCATGCGACAATTCGGCGAATTGTGGCCAGCAATGATTAATGAGCAACTTGCTTACGCTCAGGGCGGATTGACCTATACATGTTCGTCCACCCACAATTTGCTCTGACATATTCAAGCTGTAGTGCTTGAGGCGAGGGTATCGTATAGGTCTAAACAAATAGGGTCTGTACTCGCGACAGCTTCTAAGCGGATCTTTTCGATGACATGGGACCGTAAGATTTTATCAACGGACCGCAGGATGTGATGACGGGTAACGACAGTGACATCCTGTATGCTTATCTCTATATGATTTCTCTAGGTTCAACTCAGAATAGCGGTAGATTTCTAACGCAGCTCGCAACTTCTCCCCTTCCTGGCATGGAATGCAAGCTCAATGGCGTAGCTTAGAGTTGATCACCTACTGGCCGGCTGCCTGCTATCCACAGGATCCCTTAAGATTCAAGAATGCTTTCAAGCACGTTGTGTCGTTTCTCAACAGTGTCACCTGCCAGGGTTACGCATCCTCCTTTATCTTTTGGACCATCATGCATGCGCAGTGTGCAGACACTAAGACAGTAAGGCTTACGGCCTATCTGGCGTCTGGACGGCCCACTCCCTTGACAGGCAAAGCCTTGATCTCCTCATTCCGTCTGGCCTCCTTATCCTGACTATGATATCGCCGTTGAAGCTGTTTTTCATGGTAGACCCCACCGTGGGCTATCAGCGTTTCCTGACCAAGTATGATCCCTTTCCTAAAGCCTCCTACTCCAAAGCTGACTATTTCCCCTTGTTTCTCGTTAACAGGTTTACGCTAGTAGTTCCTAAAGGTCCAAGTTGACAACTGCCAATGCTTGTGGCGAGGGCTGGGAGGCTGTGTCTCTGGCATAGTATTAGTTGGTCCATCCATTCTAGCTGCCATTCGATTGTTGTCCATTCCACCGGCCTCCGGAACCCCTCTGCTAAACTGTGCATGTGGTGCAAGGTTTGTTCACAGGCATGCCGGTCATTCTCAAGTCTCGACGCTGCGCTTCCTCTCGTGCGGGCCATGTCTTACCGTTGGCCATTATCAAAACCTTTGGATCCCGAGACATCTCGTCCTTTGCCCTCTACGTCGACCATGTCCTCGCGCCCTATTTTCGAGCCGAGATTGAACGTCTCGAGCTTCCTGTAGACCAGCGGTGCATCTGGTACCTCAACGTCTACTCGGTTCACAGTGGCCGCCCATTCCGCGCATGGATGAAGGAGACGCACCCGTGGATCATCATCAACTACATCCTGGGTGGCTGTACCGGCATCTTTCAACCCTGCGACGTCGGGATCCAGAGACCTCTGAAGCACACGGTGAGACGAGCGGCACATCACTACAAATTCCAGGAAACTCTATCCCTGCTCCAGCCAGGAGTCGACGCTGTCAATGTTCAACTTGACAGAACAATTGGTGTCGCCCGTGACCGTTCTATTGAGTGGATGGTGAGAGCATATGAGGCAATCAGCAATGTGGACCTTGTCAAGAAGGTAAGCGAGTTATACCTTGAGATGTGCGCCCGCAGTGCTAACCAGCTTGGCCCGCAGGCATGGGAGCACTGCCAGGTAGACGATACCTCAGGCTTCAATCTGTCGTGGGAAAGTTTGACCAGCCGCGAAGCACGGCAGGCACTTAATGAGCTGTCTACCTGAATTCTACGCAGAGATTACTCGTGGACGCAGCGAAGATATCGAAGATTCATCCGATGACCGCGAATGTCCTGAAGATACAGATGCGCGCTCTGCTGATCACGGCGCTGACACAGATGACAGTTGTCTCACGGTGTTTGAAGTCCTCGCGCGCACCTGCGGACAGGACTGCGATGTAGAACCGCCTGCTTCTGAGCTCACGCTGGAGGATGACTCAACTGCTTCCGAAGTGCCTGCCAGCGCCTCAGATGAGTTGGGTCGCGGACACCGCGCGAGAAAGCCAACGAAGCGCTTCACCGATGCAGAATCACAGGGTGGTAAGCGCAGTTTTCATCAGGAAACACTACCATGCTACCCGATGCTACCCAACGCTTCGGAGCACTACCTAGCTCGGGTAGCGTCGGGTAGCATGGTTATTGTTTCCTGATGTTTTTCTCGAGAAAACTTAGGCAAAAGTGGTTAAACAAGGCCCAGTTATTCCTCGATTTCACGCCAATGCAAACTGAGGAGAAACTGGTGTAAAACCAGCCAAAAAGGTCTGAAACGCATTAAAACTGGCGGAAAACTGAGTTTTGCCTTCAGTTTTTTTCAGGTGAAAACCAGAGAAAGTTGGCGCCTTGTTGAATCAGTTTTTGGCTAATTTTACGCCGGAAAAAAGTGCGCTTACCGCTCAGTGAATGGTGCGGTCACTAAGATTACATGTGTTTAGATAGCTCTTCTGCTTTATATTACATTTTATGGTGTGAAATGGCGCCGCAGGCTTGAAGAAATAGGTTTTTCCTGTAATGACAAATACTGGATGACACAACCGGATGGATCCCTCTGTGACACGTGACAGAGGCGAAATAGCGGACAGGATGAGGGCCTTGTGACCTGTGACATCCGTTACGGTCGTAAAAGTACAGTACAACCTGCCCTGTATACAGCGTGAAGGCACCCCTCCAAGCAGCCTCCCAGCACTCAAGGGACCTCCTCGGCGTGATACCGTCCGTAATCTACCCCCACAACCGCCCCAGTGTGAGATGCCGTGGACCCTATTTCAACGCCGAGCTATCTCTCGGATTGCGCAGGGCTGAGCGCTGAAGACGATTTCCGCAGCTGGGACCGAGTTTCGTTTCATCCTCGCCCTTTAGCGGCCCCAAATCACGGCGTGTTATTCATATACAGACGTCTGCCCGTAGAATTTGCACGATGCCGTGCTGCACCACATGGACAGCCACACACCAGAGCTTTGCCTCGTCCGACCGCTCATTGAACAACAAGCCCTGTTCTCGTATACGAGCAGTCCTGGCACGTAGAAATGAAGTGGCGCGCATGACCTTGTGTGGCGAGACACTTGTGGCTATGAATTGGTGAGGCGGCGTTTTGATGCATATCGGACGCCTAACTGCCAGCGTGATCATTTCACCCACTGTGATTTCTCTAGACTGCCGTCTGGAGGGTCTGCCGCACCCGCCGTTTGCCAAGTGAAGCACAGCCATGATCGGTACGGGAAGGTGAGCAGCACCGCTTGTCTGAGCAGCCGCGTCTGGATACTGAGAAGGCATGGCTCTCCTCCGAAGGCTGTGGATCAAAAGGCGCCGCTTGAAACGTTGCTGATTGAGGTAGGAATGCAGATCACGTCGGCACATAAGTAGGGGGCACACCGATCCCTCCACCATCGACCTGTGTCGGACAGCATGTCTGACCCAGCTTTCATTCCGTCACTCTCCTTACAGCTCGGTAATACGCTCGGTGCCATAACAATCTGTGCGCGAGCGCCGTTTCTCGTCCGGTACTGGCGTGTGTTGACTCATTGGACAGCTGAAATTCTGGCAGCAGTGTGAGTGCCGCTGTGCCGCTATGATCCAGCAGGCTTCCTGACAATAGCCTTTACAGACTATATGGTATCGCCAGTGTGCAAGTGTACATATACTTCCACCGCAGCCCTCATGATACTCTCTTCTTGAAGCGAACTGTGTGTACCTTGCTTCCAACTGTGACATGTCATCCTCACTCACCGATCTCTACAGATACTCTTTCTGTGGTACGTCATATGACACATAACCTAGATGAATGGTGACGCTTACATGTGTGATCAAGGATTCTTGACACTGTCTATCTCGCGTTAATTTCGCACACTATTTATTATTATGCCGTAACGAATTTTATGAACCCTCTTGCCTTAGAGTTTTGTCCATGGCATGTTCTCTGTCCTAAAAGTCTTGATCTCTGCTGATTCATGTCCTCGCAATACAGGAGCCTCGCAGCCGACTTGCCTGTAGGAGTATGTGTCATTCTTACGAGCAACCACACAGATGCTGACGTATTCGAGCTAGGAGCTGATTGAGGTCACAGTGACTTCGTAGGTCTCCTATGAGTCTTTCGACCTTCTACTAATCGAATCACGGGCATGCAGTGTCTTCGCATACAAGATTTACAAACGTGCGTACGCAGTCAACCGTCTTACTGCGAATACTTCATAAGAGCAGCTAGTCAGCGGAAATATACGGCCACTTATGTTCATTGTAAGCTTATGTTATTTTGACTCCGTCGGTATTATGTTCAGAGTATCGTAGGCGCCACCCCAGCTCCTTAGCTTCTGTAGGTCTCGCGCACTCTTACTATCTCACGATACTTACCTGGGCTGTTCGTGCAGTCAGTGCCTGTGGTGTGTCTCAACTTAGTCTCAAAGCACCTTGACTATATTCTGAGCCGGCCCATCAGCTCTTAGTGCAATCCTGTATGTATTTTTTCACCCTACTTCTTCCTACATTCGTCACTTATTGAAACACAGCTTCAAGTTTCCTAACTACCAGGAATTTAATCAGCGATTTGACGTATGCCCTTTCGCGTTGCATCCCTTCAGCCTGATTCTGACACCCATATAGTGGATTTGGTATACCGTGTTCGGCCTCCAAGCCTTCACTGACTGCGCCATCGCGGTTGCGCTCTGTGTACTGCTCATTCGGCAGCGTACGGGTTTCAGACGGTAACTAGAATATGCTACCACAGCGATAGTTGCCAGGCTAACCTCTCTGCAGGACTAATTCGCTTATACGCCTACTCGTTATCTACAGCATCAACACATGTGCGCTAACCAGGTCAGTTGTTCGCCGTCTTATGGTCTCAGCGATAGTGATCTTTGCACAGCTCCGTCTCCTTTGCAACCGTTATCACGGTGAGGGCTCTTCACACTCCTCCGTGAATATATCATGCAACTAACTAGATCTAAAGCAAGCCGCTGCGCCCAAAGATTTCATAACCCTCGCATGCGCCATGGTGCTACCGTTGTGTGCGCATTGAACGCTCGGCTCTACGTCTTGGTGCTAATGTACCAGTACAGTGATGACAAACTCCCTACTCGCGCTGCTCAACTCGCGCGACATGCTACGCGACATGCACGCCGGACAAGTCTTGTCCGTCCACCTTTCGAACCTTAGGGGCGCCTCTCATCGCTTGGACCACTCAGACGACGCTCAAGTGGCGCACATTTCCCGCGAATACACCAAAAATCAGGTGCGTTGCCGCTGTCGCTTAAAGGTGCTCTCCCTTGTTCTGATTCCGCCACCTATGTAGGGTGTTCTCGACGTCTCGGCTCGCATCCCTGACGCTTCGTTCGACGTGGAGTCCCAATTTTCTCGAGGGGCCGCAGCGAATCCTGCACAAGAATTAATCTCATGAAAATCTTGCCGCTCACCGTTCAGTAGCAATCTGCTTCGGGGAGAGCCTCCGAATATGACCATGACATGACGGATCAGTTATAGCTCATAGCAAACGGCATAATATTGTGTTTCAAGTAATTGATGAATTTACGACGTATTCAACCATATCTTACAGCTTCAGAGATGCCTGTCTGTCTGTATCAAGACGAGAGAGCTAGACGTCGCGGTACCTATCGTCAGCAAATATCACAATGCTGCTACTCTTGAGACTCGGTCAAGGTTATCGGAAGGCCGGCTGTTCCAAACCCAAGCAAGCGGGGCATGTCGTGTCGGCTTCGTACAGCTAGTGCATACATCACGCGAACCCACGATGCTCGAGCTTAACCACTCTATGAACACGATTCCTGACGCCGCTGTGAAGCACCAACGCGTGTGCAGCATATTCCGAAGGCACGAGACACGCTACACCACTATGAGCCATTCCCAGTGAGCCATGTAAGTGGGTCGTCAGGACATGCAGTATGACGGAAACGACTTCGAAAGTCGTCCAAGGGCGCGGTAGTCGTTTTGCATTTGCTGGATGAGATGACTCGGGCCAGTAGTACTTGCTAGTGCTACACTTGACTACCAGTGCGCCCATGCGGGAGCCACAGATATGCTGCTAGCACTGCGGACTTGTCAGCGAAGCAATATATGTATTTGAAAATAATCGTGACATGGTTCGTCTGTGAGTGGCAAATCCCGATGCCGACGCTACTCCCACTCTAGCCTCCCGCCATCACGGCCATCACCGAGGAACGTGAACCTTGCATCGCGCGCCGTGGTATGCTAGTCCTCACTGTCGGCCTCTCAGCTCGTTATTTAAATATGTCGAGGAGACCGTGCAATGCCCGCAAAGCACGTAAGTATTATTTAACACTTCACACTCAGTGACAGAACAATCTGACTTACGCACGCGTCAGCGCAGGAACCACGAAGTTAACCATGTCGCATGTCTTCGCTATGTCGAGAAATATTGACGATTGTTACATACTCTACAAAGAAGCATAGGCGAGGTCTGCGTACATCTTAAGCGCACGGAAAGTCATCTCACATTCAAGCAGTGCGTCCTCACGCGCACAGGAAATTCCTCTCCTGGTCCTTGGCCTCATCATTCTCGCTCCCGGAACCGCCGCTCTTAGCAGCCTCTCCGCCGCCTCTTCACCGCCCTTTGCCTCCTTTCATTGGCCAGGACGAGCGCGTATTTACCGCGTCTACTCGTATAGAAATGGCGATACTCTTTCGGGTACATGTGCGTGTCCAGGCGTTTGCTATCTGTGACTCTTATAGATTTTCTTCCCCTCGAACATCCTTGACTCGGTTGCTCTCCTCCGCTTCCGTTTGGCTTTGACGTGACTCTTTGTCGACAAGCGTGCTTGGCTATAGCATTTATTCTACACAAGATGCTTTATCACGTTTCAACACCACCATTAGTCCAACTTGGTATCTTCACTTTTATCTTTGCTCGGAACGGTAGCCTGGTATTTTTATCCTGGTTTGTTTTCGATCATCTGTCAGTTATACCGCAATTAATTTCTATGTACAGACGGGATCTCGAGTAGAACGCTGCTGAAGATCATTACGTTCAAGCATCAATTATCTCTCCAGGATTTCTGAAGCGCAATGATGTACGCACTGCACATTAGATTTACGTCTAATATTGCTCACACAGTATATAGCCGCCCTGTACACGGTAGAATGCTGTTTCCACGGTTGACGATCATAGCTGAGATTCTGCCTTTTTCCTGTGCCGGCGTATCGATATCTTCAACTTAAAGGAAAGCACTCAACGACAACATTTCTAGCCGTATGAGGGCTTTAGCTGTTTCTCGTAACCGGCACCATTCATAGGACTTGTGTGCAATTGATACTCCGGGTTTCCGGATGATCACCCGCGATTCATCTCCGGCCACCTAACAATGCGCTGCTACATCGTCGTGAGCATACCCCCGCTTGACATGCGTATTCCCATCCCTCACGGCTTGTTCGGCATGTCTGAACGTTGCTGTGAATTCCATTCTGAACTTAATCACCTCGCAATGTGTAGAGGCATAATAGTTCTTACCCCCCTTTACCTGAGCGAGGTGGTAAACGCGACGCCTATGCCCTCCAGAGTGTATATCACGCAACTTGCATCTATGGCTCAGCCATTGACACCCACAGAGTCGCTCCCTTCTAACAGCTTGAGTATCAATGGCACGCTTGGGGTGGCTTATATTGGTAAGCTCATTCATACCATCTTGCAGTCACAAGCTCAGAGGTTTCTACAAGGAAATATCATTATCTCAATGTACGCTGTTTTCATGATGCGCTGCATTGCTTCCTCACGTTGTACCATAGCTTATTTACGCTCACGAGCGTCCAGATATACGTATATTATCGACGCAACAAAAACGATCTTCTGGTCATGAAGTACCTGGCATGCAATCTCTTTCCGCGTGCCTGTGTTCATAGCTGATCACATCTCTAGATTTTCTTCCTTTGGTGAGGACCCGAGATACTACACTTTGCAAATTGAAACATGCTGATTGTCGACTCAGGCTCCTTGACATCCTTCACTTCGTCCTTGCTACACACAGAGTGTACAATTTAGTCATAATAAACTACATGGACCTGGCCGCCGCTCTTCGTGTGAACTGGTGCGTGCTTTCCGTCTCCCGCCAAATGGCAAAAGTGTCCAATATTGACCCGCTACGCTTGGATTAGGAGTTCTGCCATTGGTATGAGTATAGCGGTAGGTACACTGAACTTTGATTTGTCCGGGTGCTAATCTGTGCGGACGCCAGGGCCTCAGCGACCTAGTGGTTACGTTGTAAGCCATAATTCTGTGCCTGCCAGTTACCGCACAGCTGTCATGATCAACGCAGAATATTTGCCTATCGAATTTGGAAATGTGCGTACGCTCTGCTTCCATGGAGAACAGCAGAGTCCTGAGCTTGAAGGCAGTCGGCGGGCATAGACGTATCATCCAGGCGGTAGTGGTGAGCCAAATCCATCATACAGCAACTATCAGATTTTGTTTGATCATCAATCATAAAGGCAGCAATCTTACTTGGTAATCTGGGCGAGTGACTACATTTTTTGAGCGAAGTACCAGCACGCACTGATGCATGTGGGTGCTCAAACAGTTGTGATGGCCGGCGACATTGGTGAGGTGTACAATATTCAAGTGTACTCCGCCTCACTAATAACGTCTCTGCTAGCGATGAACATTCTGTCGTGGGTCCACCATATCGCGCATGAATCTCGCAGTCTAATTAGCGACGTCTAGGATGCTTCATGAAAGGACACTACTTTCCTTCAGCCCACGCTGGCTATGGTGTGGGACATTTAGCGTTCGTGCGGTTGTCGACGTCCTTATTACATCCACTATCTGCTACATGCTATTTAAGTGTCGGAAGGACGCCAGGCGGTGCAGTTATACGCCTCGTCATGCTGTATAGCATCAGCACATGTGTGCTCACAACGTACGTCCCTCTATTCTTCAGAATCATTGATGCGTTGTTGAGGGACTGATGCTCAGCGTGTGCGCGCTGTTGTCGATTATCACGGTCTGTACGCTTCCTCTTGTCACAAAATATAGCTGAAAAAACAGCTCCGGTGCAGTACGTCGCGCTCCCCAACACATTCATAGCCTTCGTACTCGAATTAATTCTTCCCAAATGTACGGTGTGCATGCCTACCTTTTCACTTTGTTAACCATACACATTGTTGCAGTGATGCTTAACGCGCTACTTGCCACCCTCAACCCACGCCAGACGATGCGCGGCATGGTCGACCGCGTCAGAATGCGACCAATCAGCTTCTCCGACGGCCCTGAAGCGCAGCCTGAGGGTGTCAGCGTATAGGTAGATTGAAATGGAGTAAGCATGAGCCCAGACGTGGATGCGGAACTGGTAACGTACAGAGCAGAATATTTTATGGGGCGTAGGAACACAGCGTCATGTCTCCGTGGAAAATAAAATCAGCGCCACGTGGAACGGGCGACGCATGACACTATTATTATCTCTCCCTAGAGAAATAGCTGAAGGTATCACAGCCCTCAACTGTGAGGGGTCTCTCTGGGCAATCACAGCTCGAAATTGAGGGGTGGAAGGAAAAATGCAAGCTACTATTGTGCGTAGAGGGCGGGAGTTTTACGTAGATGCGGGCGTCTTGTGTGAATGCCTGTGCACGCCGGGTCTCTAACCCATGAGTATGCAATGGAAGTAGGCAGCTGCACCTGAAATGCAGTTCTCGGCTAACTCGAAAGACGTTGCTTTGAGACTAGTCTACATCACTGCGTGTATGGATTCTGGTGTAGGTCTACGCCGTCCCATTTTATTCTCCAGTGCACACAAATATCTTCAGAGCTCATCGCACCGTAGATCTCCATTAATGATAGTACAAAAGTATAGCATACCAAACGCAGGCACCACCAAAATTTAAGACATAGCATACGGAGCATACTTCCAATAGCTGAACACGGACTGCAGCGTGAGCGGCGCGAACCAACACTGTAAGGTCGGCGGACGTACCCGGAGTGCTTCTTCGCTAGTAAGTAAGGCACGGCAACTTTGCGAAGGACCCAGGGCATAGGTGGCCAGATGTCCTTGTACTCGGGTGGCGTGTGGCTATCAGAGATCAGTATCTGCTTGTAAATTACACAATGTCTGGCGGACGTACCTGCGCATGTAGGGCACCACCAGGAACGGGTCGCCGTTATTCTTCGCGTGCTTCTCCATGTCGGTGATCATCTGGCGACATTCGGCCTCCGTGAAACCCGCTTCCCTGAGCTTGGAGGCTTCTATATCCACCAATTCCTCGTTGAAATGCGTGAACTGCAAGAAGATCGAACCGACATTTGTGTGTAAGAAGATGAGGAGCATGACAACTGCGAGGCTTACCATTGCGTCCTTCGACAACTGCATAAGACGTTTAAGCTCTGCGGCGTTGAGCTTCGAGATATCTTTCTGTGCATCTCTGATATTTGCAAGAAAGTTATCCAAGAAGCTGTGGATCTCTTTATGCTGCTCTTGTTCATGGGAGAAATCAGCCCTTTTGTTCAGGATGGGAAAGACAGAGGCCTCCTGTATGTGACAGCCGCATGTTAGAGTCATGCACTAGACAGCACACATCGTTTTTTTTTTTTACCTCTGTATCATGATGATGAACGATTGACTCTGCCCATGCCTCACAATAGCCCAGGAAGTTCTTCAGGTCTCTCTCGGGAGGACCGTCAAGTAGAGGAAGAATAGTTTCATATCCTTTCTCGTAGGTCGCATGGGCTAGACACGGTCATGGCGGCAGTCAGCGGACTCCAGCAGGTCAGGGCAACAGTTTTGCATACCAAGTTTCATATTCCAATGTAGGAGCTCGTAAGGGTCGGCAGGGACGGTCGCCATGGTGGAAGTACAGGATAAGGAGCCTCACGAGGTAACGTCCTTTTACCTAGCCTGAAGGTCTAGGCGTTGGTAACAGTGATGTTCTGAATGAGGCGTAGAGGCATGCAAGGTAGAGAGCCCTACATTCGGTGTAGCGCATCTGTGATGATGCTACAAGCATGACTCGCAGAGATGTTGACAGTCTACAGTCTGTTTCACACACAACACGGCACCGCGAGTAGCTGCGGCCCTTGAAAAAGATTGACTCCTGCCCTCAGCGGAGATTGTCAGGCGACTTCTGCGAGTGAGCTGGCAGCTATAGCCGGTTGGGACCATGACCGTACATCGTAACCCTAGCACAAGCCTGTGATCATTTTTGTGACATCCGACACATTTGAAGACCGGGCTGGGACTCGCCGCTTGAACATTTTATTGCTAAAAGATGCTCAATCAAACTATTACGGTGGTGAGAGCTGTGGATACGAACGACAGGGCGGGTGGGTACTTGGTGTCGGAGGTCTCCTAATTCTTAAGGTTCTAGACTAGGCTTACACAGCCCTTACGACGTGCGCACAGACTTGATGAAAGAAAGATTTGGGTGATGGAAGATTGTTGTATGTGTATTTAAAACATGATATGTGAATGATGGAACATGATGCGCGAAAACACACGGAGGCCTGAGCACTTGACTAGTGCCCTATTAGTCATGTCTGCTGACATAAACAGGACTTGCAGGGTGCACAGTCCATGTCTGCGACTCCTGCTAGGCAGAGTGGTAGTTGTCTCAAAGTTTTGGACTTTGTCCTTCAGCTCCGGCCTCAGACTCCCTTCACTCACCCTTAGGATTTAACTGCCTCTCTTGCTCATATCTTAACCATAGCGTCTGCGTCCCCTGTCAAGTTGATGCGCCTGCCCCTCCGTTGCATAATCGCCCCACTGGCCTATGCTCACCGAGTTTCGAGCGGTGCAAAATTTATGGACACCTCGGCCTCCCGACCTCGTAAGATGCTGCTCAGCTTACTAGCGGTACGTTCGAATAAACGTGAATGTAGAAGATGCGGGAGTTAAAACGGAAGTACACTATTTAGACGTATGAAAGCCTCGCTGCTCGGTCATAAGAGAGTCGTGACTGCTTTCCAAGCTGAATATCAAATATCTGACATAGCAAACGAAGGAATTAGAGAAATATGGAGATAATCAAACATTTTCTGCACCTGTCCGTCTGATAGCTGGGTTGCATATCCTGAGAACCACATGAAGCCACCTTGTCCTACAAAGGCCGCTCAATGTCCAGCGAGTATCCCGACTGGCCCGTCGCGATGGTGGAGTCATTTTTCTTGGAGTTCATGGATCCCGGAGCCTGCCTGGCGGTTAGGAAACTCTCCACATGAGTCGCGCCACTCGTCGCATCTTTCGTGCGATCAGTGCCGGGGCGCGGAACTGCAAACGGTACCCCGAGGGGGATCCGCTCTGCCTCGGCCTGACGCCGAATCTCGAGGAGCCGGAGATTAAGGTAGACGCGCGAGCCCATCGTGGCTGTCATGACCGTTGCAAAGGGTACCGCGGTCGGCTTGATCATTGCGTGCGCCTCGCCGAGCGCCTGGATGCTTAGCACGACGATGTTTGTGACGGTACTGAGGGTGAAGTACATCAGCGTGTCGCGAAAGATCTGGCGGCCGATGTGCGACTTGGTCGTCCAAGTGCGTGGAAGCTTCGCGATGGTGAGCAGGAGGATGGTCGAGTCGAAGAGGACAGAAGAGCCAAAGCTTATCGGTGCCCAGGAAACGATAGGGTGCATCTGGCAATTCGAGCCGAGTGGTGTAGGAGGTCCGGTCGTAGCGCTGTACTGTGTAGCCACCGCGATCTACTAAAAGTAAGCAGAAACCGCTTAGAAAAGCGCTGTACATACCCAGCAGGACACCATAGTGAGAAATACAGTTGTGACGAGTGCATATACGGCTCTATTTCCGTGCCACATCGCGCTGACACGCAAGCAGAAAATTGCGCCTGAAGCAGAGACCACGAGGCATGCGCCAACCTGGCTGAGAATAACTGCTGCTTGACAGTGTTGATTCTGCACCGACGTGAAGAAAAGTGAGGGAAGGGTGGCGAGGAACGCGGAGTAGCGTAGCACAATGAAGCTAGCAAAGTTTTAGCAGCCGTGAAATGATGCCACCGGTAGCAAGCGTGCGTACAAGATCGTGGTAGGTGCTCGCGATATTCTCTTATCCTTGTCTGTATACAACACGAGCTCGTCTGGAAGTAGAATAAAGCTGCATTTTGGTCATTAGACAATACCTGCTGCTATGCGAAGAATGTAACTCACTAGTCCCAAATGATAATCGCGAATGCTACTGCAACAGCAATTGCGATTTTTACTTAGAAGAAGGTAAGCGTCAGGCAGCATCTCGGACAACGACTTATGAAGACGCACCCGCATCGCCTTGGAGAGTAAGATACTGGTCAAGAGTCAGACCTGGGGGAAGGACGACTGTTGCGGTGTTCGGCGACGGGGAGCTTGTGGTAGGTGCCGACATGTCGTTGGTACTTGGGATACAGCGAACCTGGGGCCAAGTTTTGCAGAGCTGTTTCACAAGGGTTGATGAGGGATACTATACCCCTACATAAAACGTCCATGGGTGAAATCAGTCAACCAAACACCACGACAGACGCCGTTCTGACGCTCACCAGTGGGTTTCGATGGATACCACCGCGCTAGGCTAGAGCGGGAATAACTCTCATACGAATCGTGTAAGCAGTGCACGCAGTAGGAGAGGGCAGTTGCAAGCGACACGTTGTTTGCTTGCTCAATGAAATTTGTTAGATATCCAGTCGCCGGCGATGGGATGCCCTGGACTTGGGTCATGGGGCTGGGGTCCGGGCTGCCCCGTCTTCTCATGGACACGCCACAAAGCGACTGATGTGCCTGGGCCCTGCTCACGGCCACACGGCTGCTGGGCCTATCTCTGGCCGCATACTCTATTTGTTCTCCAGAACCTGCACGGGCTCCCACGGTCATGCTCGATGCCGTATGTTTGGCTCCCTGATGCCGCAAACAGCACACTATCCGCTGTTCGACACTGTCTTTCGAGCGTGTGATCAGAAGCGAGGACACAAAACTTCTTGAGCGATGAATGTACTCACATACATGTCGTACGGTAGCTGTCACTCCTTAGGCCGTATCATGGTCTCAGGCTGGCGTATGTCCGTCGTCAGGCTGACCTGCACCATCCAGCCAGATGCTGTTGAATTCTACTGCGTCTTTCTCAGAGCGTATCATCGGCATGGCATGTAACTTTATCGCACAGCAGTCAGAAATGGTGGCAGTAGAGCAACAGCCTTGTTGATGTTGATCGAGAGTATATGGTGAGCAGCACAGGTATAAAAGGCGGTGCGGCCAGCGTTGGCCGGTGTCGATACGGCGCCAGCACACCAACATATTTCGGCCAATTGGTAGCGCAGGCAAAATATGTGGACGCAGTCTCTGGCTCTTCTGCAGTCAACAACACTAACGCATACCCGTGGCACGTAAATGGTCAACAAGTGCTTTGACGAAGAAGAGAAGTTGCTTGCGTATCTCGCAAACGCCACAGTGACCGCAGTTTGGGGGCATCAACTCATGTGGACATTTTCTTTGCTTTCTGCAGGTGATACCACCCCGTGATGGCCCATGCGTTCATATCATTGGGCGCGCGGAGCCAGGGAGGGGTCCTATGAAGATCGGCAATTGAACTAGGCATTCTGTGGAAATCGCCATCAATACAGCCCGGAGGACATCGGACAGCGGCAGATGGGCTTTATGAGCGCGAGAACAGAACCCATGCGCGACAGTGATCGGACGAGTATTGGGAATTTGTCTATTGATACGGTTCAGCTAGAATACCTGAAACGAGTAACCATAGCTCAAGCTGGATCCAAGAGAGATGAACGCGTACCATGGAGGATTTCTAATCTCCGAGGCAACCTGGTTCCGATGTGCCGAATACCATGCTCATCATGAGGATGGTGGTCAGACTTTTTTGTTGAATTTTATCGATAATTGCCGCAGGCCACACAAGAACAGCTCTCGCGCTGAGAGCTTTTTGGAGTGATGCTGCGATTTTCAACCACTTTACGAGGTTGAACAAGTCATGTTACGACTAGACGTCCTTTCCTGGTCGATCGAGGTTCCGCGGTACTCCGCTAGGGGTCTCAGTCAGCGGGATGCGATGACGACGGCAATATAGACCATGACTATGAAAGATGTGCTGTCAACACGAAGTCCATCGAAGATGTACGCCCGCGTTGAGGACAATGTCGGAAAGGCTGAGGCGAGCCAACGACGTAGGAGTCAGCCACGTCGCCGCCGTATCCGGAAAACAATCGGGCGCTTCAAGTTGATCCGGGCAACTAGTAACAACTCGCGGGTATCCTACCTCGCACTATATAGGCAGGCCTAGGCACCGTAGGTTAGCCATCCGATCCTCCACATATGTGGAACAGAACACTCCTAGCAACACCTAGCTGGGACGGCTAGGACACGACTCCAACGCATCTCGCATGCCTAGCCGGACCAGGGACCGCCAAGCGCCTGTCGAAGTGGTCGCTGGCCATCGCCGCGCCTGCCATATAGTTGGCGTCATGTTTGCCATACAGCAGACAAGTAACACAGTAGAAAATAAATATATCCAGCCTAACGTAGCTGCTCTGCTGCACCATATAGTGTACTATACTGCGCTTTCTGCGGGTGAAATCTGCATTGGAGCAGGCTGGGACCAGCATCGTGCCCGTCCTCTTGATCGGAGAGGATGATATATTTACTCACCTCAGTAGGTTCGGGACACTTGGGCACCGCAAATGTCAGTCCGACGGTGCGCACCTTGCGTGTGGCGAATTTCCGACAGGAGCAAACGGTGCCGTGAGGACAGACAAAGGACAAACCACGTTGTGAAAGTGCTGCGTCATGATGCAGATCTAGCGCTCTCGTGGACGACGGAAACAAAAGTTGAATTAAGATGGAGATGAGAGTCAGTGCACGCCTGCCTCTGGGTGACCAGACCT